CCACAGTTTCAGGATAAGTGGAAGGCAGCGCCTGGCAAGTTACGCCTCCGTTTGCGGATGGATTGTAGATGCTTGGACTAACGTGTCTGCTGGCTCTGTTGTTCAAGCTTTTGCAAAAGCCGGCATTATTTCTGAGGAGCCGCGCTGCACGGAAAGTGACTCTGACAGCGCAGAAGGGGAAATTGGCATGTCTGATTTAGCGCAGCTGTTTAATTCAGAAACAGAGGATGATGACTTTGATGGGTTTGATTAATACTTTGTAATAAATACATGAATAAAGCACAATCATACTCAGTTTTGCTCCCGCTGTATTTTTCTACCTGAAAACTTAATTCAACAGCAGCCTCTGGGCGGGTCTCCTCCTCTTCACCGCGGCGGCTGGCAGGTGTTTTTTCATCTAAATAATTTAAATCTTGCAGCTATATTTGCTGTGATCAGTGGGAATAAACTAGTTTTATTATGTTTTTAAGTGAGAAAGGCCACCTGAAAACATAATTGCAGTCAGTTCTTCCAGATTATCTATTTCTGTCAGAGGCGCTCAGACCCCCACATACCAGCGGTGCACCGACAGTAGAAATCCCTCAACAGCAGCCTCTAGGCTGGGCAGCCTGTGGGTTCACCGCGGCGGCTGGCAGGTGTTTTTCATCTAAATAATTTAAACTGCAGGCACCAGGATACCGGCAATAAAAGCGAACATATTCCGTCGGCAGGTTTCAGGATTTTAAGTTAATTTAGGAGTGATCACAGCGCTGTGTCATCTGCGATGTGTCTGTCTCACGGCCAGCTCGCAGGTTTGATTAACTTTGTAATAAATACATGAATAAAGCACAGTCATACTCAGTTTTGGGCCCGCTGTATTTTTAAATACGCAGTAGAGGTATTTAAAGGTAGTAGAGGACATGTACCTGTATATAAAAAACGCGCCCTATAGTCCGGTGAGCCTTATGTGTGTGTTAAATAAAGAAATGGCACACATAACTGAGACTGCGCCTTTTAGTACGGTGCGCCTTATGGTCGTGAAAATACGGTAATAAAGAAAAGCATCTTGAGATATTTATAATGTTGCTGGACATTCCTAACACTTCAGTGTTTCTCATTTTTCCTTTGAGTTTGCATCCAGTAGCTGTGGATGCTTGTTTCTGCTTGTGTTTGTCTTCACTCCATTTAGTCGTGTAATTCCTCAGCAAATAAAGCTCCTCCCCCAACATGCCTCCACCACCTCATAAACACATTTCTGCAAACCTTGTGTAGAACATTTTTCTGCACAAACTCTTTCCTCTTCTCATAGCTGAGATGTCAGAGGAGACGTTTGGAACGGCCGGTTTTGGGTGCGTCCTTAATCGATCCAGTTTAAACTTGCTGGCACATGCATCAAATCTCAAAAGTAGAATTTTTCAGTTTAATCAGGTTAAATTCTGCAGCAGAGGAACATTTTTGATGTTAAAGGAGAAATGCACGACGTGTTCAATCATCACCCATTTTAAACATCCATCTGCTTTCTTCTCTTATCTGAAAGTTTTATCCTAATTTGTTTTGCTATTTTTCCCCCTCTGCTTTCTGCTTAAAGTCCTCTTTTCCATTAGATCATAGCTGAGGTTTTATCCCATTAACAGCGATGCAGAAGCACAATGCCGTCTCTTTGCTGCACTTGCAGGCTCGGTCTTGTGCAGCTTCACAAACGCGGCTTCAGTAATGCTGTTAAACCTGTTTGTTGTGCAGTAATCATGAATCACTTTTGTTTGCAGGTGTGAAAGAACAGGCTTGGATATCCTTTACTAAGCTCTTTTATGTTTAGCATCAGTAACTTTAATGTGCTGTCTAATGGTTTGACTGCGTCTGCAGCTAACTGCACCATAGTGTGTGCACTGTTCTTGTTCTGCTGTGTAGAGTGACTCGTTGGTTCTGGAACCTGGTCTGCCCGTCAAACATTGAGTGTTTAGTGTAAGTTATGTAATATCTCTGGAAAGTTGAGGCCATTGTAGTAGCAGCTTGTCTGAATGTACTACAGAAAGCAGGACACAAGAACAACATATCCTTAAAACCACTGAGGTTTTTAAATGCTTTTGTTTTCTTGCCGCTTGATTTTTGCAGTTTGTACTTTTAACACCACTTCCTCCTTTATAATCAGAAATGGAGATCAGTGCATTTTGTTTTTAGAAAAAAGCACTTGCCTGTTCTGTCCTCAGTTGATGCATGTGGTGCTTTGGGGGAATTTGTGCAGCAGGGGGTTTTGAAGTTATTGCATTCTTCAGTTTGCTCTGTTTACTTTTTATTTTACCAGGTACTTTCATACACTGAAAAAACTGATCCAAAAATCTCTTTAAAAATTGTAACTGCCCTTAATTTGAGCAGGTTATGATGATCTGCCAAAAGAATGAAAATCAAATAAGTATTTGATAATTATTATTATTATTTTGAAATAATAATATGGAGTTTATTTAAACATAAATAATCTTAATCTTTTGCCAAAGTGTCTTACTTGCTTAAATTAAGGAAAAATGAATTCATTTTAAAACAAATGGGGTAATTCCACAACCAGCAAAAACAAACAACCGTAGCCCAGTAAGACTCCAGTGAATATCCAAGGACTTTGTCCTAATGTCTTAAGCCCCTCCCCCTGTGCTTTTCTATGTGTTTCTTAACTGATCTTGTTCCTCTTGCAACTGCAAGAAATGAGGAAAGTTCAATTTCCTGCAGGCCACAGAGGGTTGTGTAAAATAATACGGCCTGAGGTCTGCAGCTGTCTCTGCACGCATATCTAGAGTCATCCAGAGAGCGATGACTGACGCGCTGCATTTAACCCTGTGTTACTGTTGCAGGACTGCTTGCCGTCCAGTTCGGTTGTTGCTGAGAAACGAGTGTTTCCCCCTGTGGTCACCACAGCAGAGGTTGCTATTTGTGGCATTGTTGCTCGGCTGCTGAGTCCCAGCCTAAAAGTCTATTGTTTACACGACACCCACACTGCTGGACTAGTAGTCTGACGGATTTGGGTTAGATCTGGTGTAAACGGTGATTGTGTCTTCTTGGAAGTGATGTAGCATGGGTTTTAGTGTTGAGTGCTGCTGTTTTAACAGTAAATTGTTTAAAGTGGAAATCAGTAGGAACTTTTAATGATGCAACCCATATAAATGTCCAAAGATGTTTCTCTGTATGAAAAGGTACATATCCACTTGGCTTAAAGCATAAAACATGTTGGATTTTTCTGATATTCAGTATTTTATTAAGTTTTATATTTTCACACTTAAGAAGAAAGCACAAAAAACAACCTAAAATAGAGTGACGGACAGGAATGCAGATAAATATTAGCAAACCATTTCAGTCCACAAAGTAATTCACACATTTATAACATTGTAGACGTATAAGAGTGAAGACTGCCCCAGTGTTTTGCCACAACCTAATTTCTGCTGTGCATCTTCTCACATGCCACTTTCTTAATCTTTGTCTCCACGTTTTAAGGTTTTCAGTCCGAGGTCTTTTCTGTGGCGTTAAAATTAAACAACCTTGGGTCACAAATCTAGTATCAAATAATATGAAATCTGTTTAATCAAACTGTGGCCCCTAACTTCTGTCCCCCAACAGGCACAGTCTTAGGCTACGTTCACAGCTGCAGCCTGAGGTGATCCAAATCCGATTTTTTTTTTTTGCCCACATGCGACCTGGATCTGATCTTTTCATGGCTGTCTGAACAACACAGTTCCAATTTATTGCAATGCAACCCAGGCCACTTGGCTAGGTTGCCCTTAATCCGATACGAATCTGATCTTTTCACATGCGACCTGTGTCTGAACGGCCAGGTCGCATTCTTCCAACCTGAACGCCATGAGAAGCCGACATAGGTCACTGTTCTGCGTCTTGCTACACAGAACCGCAAGAAAAACAAACACCGTGGCGGACGATGATGCGGAGAGCAGTAAATATACGCCCCAGCTCTACCATCCATGTTTACTTCCGTAAACACAGAGCACGCTGGCTTGTGACGTCTTTGCGTACTCTACTGCGCATGTGGGACACTTAAGCTGTATCACTGCAGTTCACACATGAGATCACCAACAAGTCGCATATATTTGGAAATGTATACGGCAACGCCAAAAAATCGGATGTCACAAAAAAATCAAGGTCTGCAGTGTGAACATAGCCTAAGTCATTCAGGTGACTTGGCTTGGTCAACCTCCCAGAAAAATACCCCCCCGCCCACCAGTCCATTTAGGAGAGTAGTTACCCATAGCTTCTTGAGGCTAGAGAAAGACAGATGGTATCTCTTATGAATTTTAGGTGGATAAATTTCCTTTTCTCCTCCCTGATTTATAGCCCTTAGCCAGATAGACCCAAGTTCCTTTGTTAAGCTGATTTGCCACATCTTTATGGTCTAAATAAAAGAATCATAAAAAAAATGAAACTAAAGGTGCTTGGATTTAGTTTTTAAACCTCAAAAGAAATTAAATGTGAACATTTTTTGATCTGGTCTCTGTCACCATCTGTACAAAAGTTTTTCATCCTTCCTTTACTTCTTGCTAACTCTTCTCTCCTTTTGAATTCATCCCTTCTTTTTTGACTTTTTTATTGTTCTCCTTATCTTCCTTCCATTCTTATTTGCCTTCTGTCATATTTTATTGCTTCCTTCTGCTCTTGCTTCCTTTCCCATTGGCCTTGCTTCCTCGGCTTCCTTCCTTTCTTGTTAGTTTTCTTTCCTCCTTGTTGCTTCTTATGGCTTCCTCTCAGATTTAAGCTGAAGGGCCTGTCGTAATTTACAAAACAAATTCATGTTAAGCTGAAACAATAATGGTCAAAAAAAGGTTTAGGAACTCTGAACCAGGGAGTCTGGAAAAATGAGAAGTTGAGAGATGAGACTCTTTTCCACATCTTGCTTTTATTGGCTTTACTTTGCATTCTGTTGTCAAATATTTTGTACTGTAATGATGATGGAAAATCCCAAACTTTTAACAATTTAAGAGAGAAACTAAGGAATCTGTGGCCAATTTTTTGCTTCTCTCCTCCTGCAGGGCTCCAGAGATCATTTTGGGTCTGCCGTTTTGTGAGGCCATTGACATGTGGTCGCTTGGCTGCGTGATCGCCGAACTCTTCTTGGGCTGGCCCCTTTACCCTGGAGCACTGGAATATGACCAGGTAACAAGCTATTTACACATAATGAAGGGAAGAAAGACTCCTACTGTCTTTATCGTTTGCTCAAGGTCTTTTTCTGTATGACTGGAGTTTAGCAAACTAAACAGAAAACCCATCTGCAGCTCAAACAGGCAAGAAAAATAGTACTTGCAATGTGTGATTATCTTCCCATGGAGGGGTAATGTGTGGTCTGAACTGCACAACTGGGACTGGAATCCCCAGGCAAGGAAGAGGGAGCATGGGAACAGGCCCCGGCTCCATTCACAGAGGAGAACTGCGTCGTCCTGTGTTTAGCCATGCACAACTCGGGATTAGAGAGGGTTAATTAAAAAGTGTTATAAACAAACTTGGACACTCATAAATCTAGAAAATAAACAGTTTTGCAGTAAACAGAGGTGGGTAGAGTATCCAATATTTGCACTCAAGTAAGATAAGTCCACTCAAGATTAAGGCCACTAAAAGTTAAATGTTGTAAACAAGCAATGGTTTTAAAAGCATGTAGTAAAAAGGCTTCAAAAGTACAGAATAATGTTGGATCATAATGTCTAAAAAATACAAACACACTTAATTTGCAAAATGTATTTTCTTTTTCAAAGACTGAAAAATTACATGATCACTGGAAAAAATTAAAATCTAGATAAGTCATTTTTTCTTAAAAAAATAAATGCATTTGTTCTTAAAAGGTAAAATAGACATGTTGCCAATGGAACAAGAATTGCATTGTCTTATTTCAAGTGCATTTTATATAAATATCTTGTTTTAAGAGTAGAAATAGTACTCCAATGACAAATTGTCCCATTTACCTACTCAAATTAAATACTAGCCTGGTAAACCAGACTAAATATGAGATTAAATGTTTAATTTAGTCTGGCCCCGATGTCTGATGAATGAGACATCGGAAGATTTTTGATGAGAACCCTTTTTTTCAAACCATGTCTGTGCCTATTGGCCAACGCTCTGACCAATGAGAACTGTTCAATAGTTGGTGCCATATTCCTTGTTGTGCTTTCTCCAGCGTCGTGTAGCTTTGTCGTCACGCCCTCCAAACCCCGCCCGCTTTGCATCCAAAAAATTCAAAACACATCTCTGCGTTGTGATTGGCCCACCAGTTCTAGGGAACTGATTGAAGCTAGACCACTTGCAGGCCAAAATGATTTTGGCCGCTGGTGGGTGGGGCTAGTTTACTAGACTAGGTTAATGTACTTGATTTAATAATTTTTTTTTACTTATCTTTAGATTGTTTTTGCAGTGATGGTCAGAGGCCGGACGCATCTAGGATTAGCAATACTTTGAAGTACAGTCTATGAAAATAACTTTTAAAAATAAAACATTTTTTTTTTATATATTTCTCCTTTACATGTATCAAGTTGGTACCCACATCTGGTGGTAACCCTACCATTGTGTGACAGATTAATATTAGTTTTGTTTTCTTAAGTTGGACTGGTCCTCAAACATGGTGGGCTTGAAAAGGTTTACATTAACGGGCCGTGTCAGGACGCGCACCCACACGAGCACATTGAGACCCCCCCCCCCAAAAAAGCACGCCGTTGTAAGCCAAGGCCCGCTGCAGTTCCACTCTACACAGCAAAATGTATTTATAAACGGAGGGTAGACGGGCGCATATCCGTGCACACACACCGAGTTTGGTTCCCGTTCAGTGCCTCATCAGCAGGTTCTCAGTCCAGTGCTCTCTGGCTGCTCGGTGTGTTTGTTCTAGGCTGCAGACACGTGCATGCCCACTCACACTCACAGACAGATAGGGGAACCTCATTGCATCTATTCATAGCAGCAACGCACCGGTATCATGTTATTGTTGGGGGGGTTTATAAACTGATGAAATCCACAAAGGTTAATGAAGGCTGGAAGCTGCAGAAGCTTTCGTTTTCATGTTTGGGTTCAAGTACTGCTTATCAGAAAAGTTTGTTTAACAGCTATTCTAACGTTATGCCTGTTCTCAAACTGACGTGTTTTAATCTTCTGAACAGAATATTCATTCTCATTTCCATCTTATCCATAACTTTCAGTCTTTGCCATGAGGGGACATGTTACAAAAGAAGGCCATATTTGTCCAAAGGTTTTTTTTTTCCATAGTAGTGAGGTGGTTAAAACATTATTGAGGATTTGGTATAAAATGAGCAAAAAAGGCAGAAAATATGAAATTTTTTTGGGTAGGTATTGAATTTATTTCCTAGTGGATCTCTCAATAGATATTTTTTATTTTATTTTATTTTACATTTGTTGATAATTATAAATACAAAAAAGAAAAACACTAGAAAACCAAGCCTAGTAATTCACTTACTTTGACTCAGCTTTAGGTTATGAATCAATAATATTTAAGACTTCACCTATTGGTTATTTTAGAAATCCATGAATCTGTCATTTGTTTTTTTCATTTAATATAAAAAGATGCATTAAGTACTTAAAAATGAAAAGGAAAAAAGCTGTATGTTGGAAAAACCATATCTCAGTATCATGTTTACATTTGATCACTTCTGCACTTCAAGAAATGGAAAAATCTTGAGAGCTGTACTGATTGAAATTAGTTTTTTTATATACACTATGTGTACAAAATGACAAAGTTTGTCGTAATCTAAGTAAGTTAATCTTTCTAAATAAACATTTGGAATACAGAAAAAAAAACTTTATTGCACTTTTTTAAAGGAATTGCAGTGACAAAACGTAAAAAAAAAAATATGTAAGATACATTATCAATGGTTACAAATCCATTATGATTACACAAGTAATGAATTAGTTAGATTAATCGCGATTAATCCAATTAATTGTTTCCGCCATACGAATAACATAACTTAACAGTCAAATATGAGAGCATTTGACTAATAATTGCAGAAGGGATAGAAATGAGGAATTTCCCCATGTTCAGTCTATAAACGCATCAAGTCGTTTGATGCACTTTATTTTGAATTGACTGTAAATGCTGTTATCCGTTCTGATGTATAAATAGAGCAACCGTTTTGAACTGACTAACTTATGATGGTTATAAAATTACATCTTTTAAAAAAAACAGCAACAGATTTTATTCTGTTTTTTTGGTTCATTCCAGTCATCAAACCTCAAAGGAAAATGGATCCATATTAGAGAGGAAAAGCTGCTGTTTTTCCATTCTTTCACTGAATTAAATATCAGAAAACATGCAGCCATCTAATGTGATGCTGAATTATTTCATTTATTTGTAAAAAAAAAAAAAAAAAAAAGTAAAACAATCTATGATATTTAGGGTTATTTCAACCAAAGCTTCAATGATCTCAAACGTCCATCAGAGTTGACCAGGTTTGCTCTTTCAGATATGACCGTTTCCAGGGCTGCAATAATAGAAACAATAAGTGGAAGTAATCGGATTCACTGAATGAAATTCAGGTTATTAACTGAAGGGGTTCCGACATTTTCTACTCCCTTTCTCAGCATCTCCTGGTTTTCTTCCGTTTCCTTAGATCCGGTACATCTCCCAGACGCAGGGCCTGCCTGCAATGCAGCTGCTCAACAAGGGGACGAAGACCACACGTTTCTTCACCAAAGAGTCAGACTCTCCCTACGCCTCCTGGAGACTAAAAGTATGCAGCTCACATCATGCAAATACACACCATCACAACATTATGGGGATGTCATATTTTACTCTTTATCTGGTTCTTGGTGGGTAAAGTGAGCTCTGGTTAATGAGTCATGGGGGAGAGTAAGAACTGAGGGGAAATAGCTGAGAATATTTTATGGAGATTCTTGGGTCTACCGGTAGGAAACAGCTGCTTGTCAAAACAGGACAGAGCCAGAACAGCCTGCGGAAAGCTCAGGGAAGCACAAAGCTGTGTTGAGACAATGTTCTGAGGTTCCTGTGTACAAAGTTTAGACAAATTTAAGCTTATCTTTTTCTCACCATAGAGAAAAAAAACAAGTTTAAACCCTGTCATAAAGGAGATCGACATTCTGACAGCCTACCACTCTCTGATATTCTGACGGTTTTGACCTTCCCCTGCTTATCAGTCAAACTTATCCTTATCCAAACTTATCCTTATCCTTATTGACCACATGATTTTTATGTTGTTTATTTTTATCTTTGATTTTATTGACCACATGATTTTTATGGTTGATTTTTATCTTTGATTTTATTTGCACTGTGTAGCACTTTGAGATTTTTCTTAATGAAAAGTGCGGTACAAAATTGGATTTATTATTATTATTATTATTATTATCCTAAAGCAGAATGTCTTTTAACACGTGAAGCTTTCCATGTGCTCGTAATCTTTACTCTACCATCCTAGGGTGTAAGAAAAAGTTTACAGGCGTAAGACAAACCAGCCAGCTTATCTTAGTGAAAGTCGTCACGTGTGTGACCTCTGTGATCGTTGACCTTTATTTCCTGTTTGTTTTTGTTTTTTTTCTACAGACGACAGAGGAGCATGAGAAAGAGACGGGACTTAAATCCAAAGAGGCCAGAAAGTACATATTCAGCTGTCTGGATGACATAGCACACGTAGGTCCAACAAGAATGGACCTGAAATGATCCAAACAAAAAACATCCATATATAAATCGAATATGTTGCCTTTAAACAAATGTTTCTTTGTGCTTTGACCGTAAAGTTTCCTGTCTTCATGCCTCAGGTGAACCTGGTGTTGAGTCCTGATACCAGCGACATGCAGGCAGAGAAGGCAGACCGGCGCGAGTTTGTCTCTCTCCTGAAGACCATGCTGTTGATCGATGCCGAGGACAGGACCGTCCCCTCCAGTGTCCTTAATCACCCCTTCCTCACCATGACTCATCTGTTGGACTACCCTCACAGCAACCAGTACGGCTGTTTATCTGCTACCACAGCCTATCATTTGTTTTCTTTCTTACCCCTAAACTTTTTCCTCTTTTCTTATCTAATAACAAACAAACCTAAATGTTGACATTGGGATTTTTTCTATGATTAAGCAGCTTTTGAGAGCAAAGGGACGTCATGAATTCAAAGGAACATAAAGGAAGATAGATATTTAGAGGAGGATAAAGTTTAAAGGAATAGTACACCCTAAACATGATTAGCCTTCATTTTCTACTCACCCCCATGCTGAACAACACTCTGGAGTACTTTTTTGATATCTCAAATGCATCTGGAGATCTGGGAGGCTTCTTGCTGTCTGCTGACATTCAAATAATGGAGGTCTATGGTGCCCGAGGCAGAAAGGTCCATAAAAGTCCACAAAAAACGTGTCAATATTCCTCCATACTGCTCGTCCAATGTATTCCAAGTGTCCTGAGTGGGTAGCGTCCATAATTTACTCGAAACGAAGTCATTTAGAATGTTTTTAGAGCATAAACAGTAGTGTATAGGATTTCCTGAAAGCGAGTTCACGAGTCTACGGAAACCGCGGCAGACCAAACCAGATGAAAGTGCGCATTCAGCTCGGCAAAGAACTCATGCTCTTCCTCAACACTGAAGTCCTCAGACATTTTTCTTTCGTTGTTTCTTTCTTTGCACAGGTAAACAGCACATTTCTTCTTCTACGCTTGCATTATCTGTAGAGCAGACGCTGAATGCGCACTTTCATCTGGTTTGGTCTGCCGCGGTTTCCGTAGACTCGTGAACGCGCTTTCAGGAAATCCTATACACTACTGTTTATGCTCTAAAAACATTCTAAATGACTTTGTTTCGAGTAAATTCTGGACGCTACCCACTCAGGACACTTGGAATACATTGGACGAGCAGTATGGAGGAATATTGACACGTTTTTTGTGGACTTTTATGGACCTTTCTGCCTCGGGCGCCATAGACCTCCATTATTTGAATGTCAGCAGACAGCAAGAAGCCTCCCAGATCTCCAGATGCATTTGAGATATCAAAAAAGTACTCCAGAGTGTTGTTCAGCATGGGGGTGAGTAGAAAATGAAGGCTAATCATGTTTTGGGTGTACTATTCCTTTAACGATATGTTACGGTCTGAATGGAACTCGGAGCTCTGTTCAATATATTATTTACGGAAAAGTCTGGTCACCCAGGAATAATCAATGGATCATTATTTATACCTAAAACTAATATATTTGCAGTGGTTTAATAAATTTAGCATTAATCAGTAAAAAAATAAAATATTAATTTTCGTCACGGTGCGGTAAGCCTAGCGCAATTCTCCCCACTGTACAACCAAAATCAATGGGAACTAATAGGCACATCTGCAAACAACAATTATTTAAGATTTCCAGAGGACTTCACCACTGAAATTCACCAGAGCCATAGTTAAACTGACAATGCCCACGTGCATCGCAGCTGGATATTGTAAGGAGGATTTGCCATCGAACTTCTGGCCAGAGAAAAAACCCGTAATATGTAGCCAACATTTGGAAGAAGAATGTTCTCAAGATGACTTGGATAATAGCGCGTTGTGACAAACACTAGATACTAGATACAGCACTGGGACTTATTCAACTGCCGATACCGCACCGTGACGTTACAAACCAGTAGGTGGCAGTGATCTTTAACAAACATGGAGGCCTCCAGTAAAGCACATTCAAATGAAAATTGCTCTTAATTTAAAGCACCTTTTTATTGAACAGTATGTAATCATTTCATATTTAAAGTACTATCAGAAGTTTATATTCTGAATATGAGCGGACTTCTCCTTTTTAAAAACGAGTGTAACTGTACGTATGTAAACTGCATGTGAAAACCTGGAAGAGACAGAGCATCACACCGCACTTCTCAGATCTTTATTTTTAAAGAAATATAAAAAACAGCTTTGTTTTAATTTCATATCTTTTATAAACTATATAGAATTAGAATAATAAAAGGAGTAGGACACATTTCAGTCATGTAAGAGAGGATCCATCTCGAAGGCGAGCAGCATTCAAGACGGCGTTAGTGAATGTGCAATGAGCAGAAAGTGATCACATCGATTTATACACGTCGCTGCACATGGCAGAACATTCCTGAGGAACACATGTGGGAGGCAGAAAGTAAAGAACCTTGGGAGACCTTTTCTCACAGGAACCAGGCAGGAAAAACGACTATTTATCTTTAACCAAAGAGATAACAGTTCACACTCCTAATCTGTACCAGTGGCATTGCATTTTGAATGAAGAGGAAGCTTCCAGGTTCATCTGGGCTACATCAAAGTCTGTGTTGACAAAATGAAAGATTTTGTTTATGGATGGGATTTTCTCATAACGCCACCCTCCTCTCTCAGTGTTCAATCATCGTTCCGCATCATGGACATGTGTCACACCCGGCCCAGCAGCGCCGTCTTTGATGCATTGAACCAGAACACCATTCATCTGCCCAGAGCCCCCTTAGCTCCAGCTGGGTCCTCTGGCCTTCCAATGAGCTACGGCAACATGCAGGTCCATACCCAGGTAGGTTGTTTCAGACACATCATCTTCTGCATATAGTGTTGCTGTAGATTAAAGGCTTCATGGTTGGTTGTCATTAATTCTGCTTTTCTTTCTCTTAAACGTTTCCAATCCAGTCGATCTCCCAGTCTGCCACATCCTTGTTGCATCCTGGGATAGCTTTAACAGGAAACGGGCAGTTCGGGTGCAATGACTCCTTCCCGCCTGCCCTCCTCCTCTGTCCTCCCACAATGCAAGGTATGAAGATCCAGCTACATCCCTCCTATAATGATGGTTTATTGTTTTAAAATGTGATTCCACTGAAAAAGGCTAGAAATGTTGAATGTCTATATTCTTTCCAAAGGTAACCTTAATCAGCCGGCAACCTATTCTGTCCCCATGGTAACTCAGGCCCCTCCCATACAACCTCTACCTGTGAGGCCTGGAGTAATAGCTCAGGTAAGATGCACACTCATTCATACAGCGTTTAGAGCGTGTTTCCATTTTAATGTTCATACACTCGATTCAAGAGTCGGACCCTGACTGTCTTTACAGTTAATTTCTGATCACTGATCTGATATCAACAGTTATATCACTGATAGTAGAGATGAACTGAATAGATAACCCATTTTAAAGTTTTTTTAGAATTAATTAGTTTATTGATTTTTCTGGACTGTGACAATAAACATTGCTTTAAGGGGACCAGAATTAACCAATAAGCCATGTCTCATCTGATTTCTCTGGAAACATGAACATTGTAAATCAAAGTAGAGCCCAGTAAGAAAAGTGTAGAAACCGTAACTTTAACAGCACTCTGTTGCTTTTGAAAGAAAGGCTAACTTAATCTGAGATTGGATGTATTAAATGGTTGTTCAGGTCAATATGCAGGACTTGGTGCGTATCGATTCTCCATGTGGACCTCTATTCTCAGAACTCGCTAAAGCCAGGCTTACACTGTGCGAGTTTTTTTTTTTTTGCCCTTTTCAGGCCGACTTTCTCCTTGTACGAGAATTTTTCGATCGGGCCGACTTTCAGCCTGATCGTGCGTCGTGTACACGGGGTAACGAGGGGCGATCAGCCTCTCAATACCACCTCCGGATCAGGAGTTGTGAGGCTGGGAGAAAATCAAACATGTTTGATATAGTCTGACGCACAGTGGACAAACAATGAATCTTCTTCTTCTTCCTCTCAGATGTAAACACAGAAGCATGGCGGCGGTGCGAGTGAAAAGGAGTTCTTTCTGTTAAAATGACAGACCGCAGTAGCCATGTTTGCTCAGCCATGTCTTTGTCCAAATACCTTGTTGTCTTTTCTATTTAGGGCTTTCAGCACAAAATTGCACAAATTGCCAAGGCAGCGCGTTTCACTCTAGTGGCTTCCGGAGAGACGAGTCCGAGTAGCGCCATCTCACTGTGGAACTGAGTCCAACGTGGTTTTTAGACGTACAGTGTGAGCAGGTAGATCGCATCAGAGCGTCGGGTCGCACAGTGTGGGAACATACACCATGTAAACAGCTGTTAACTTTTAAACACTGCAGATTCGTGGAACAGTGACTTGTATCTGCGTGCAACGATTGAAAAAAATGTCTGGCTGTATCTCAGATCTTCTTAAACACCAGAGCTAACTTAGCTCAAAGTTGTTAGCCACCAAAACAGATCTGACTGTTAGCTGATCAGACATACTACTAGGTTGTCTGATATGGGATTTAATCTAGGGGGTGAATGTTTCCTTGCCTTTATCAGGGACTCTGTGGTCTGCTGTTGGAACCAGAACCATGGAGGGAGATGGTTTGATTGTCAAGCACAGTGCGGTGGTGCCAGTCGCTTTCAGCAGCACTAACCCTAGAAGTTGCAGGTGTAGCCCCATAGTGGCTAACAGTTGCAGTGTTGCTTTAATGCATTTTAAATTGTTTTTTTTTCTTATTTCTTGCAGCAGGCCTGGTCTGGCCGAGGCCAGCAGCTGCTGGTGCCAGCAGCGTGGCAGCAGATGACTCCTGTGGGGCCCCCACCCTCTCACCCACCTCAACCGCCCCCTCCTGCCCTTACCGGTGACACCACGGCTGGACCACAAAGGATAGGTGACTGGGGGTGAGTCTTAGTCATTCCAAACGTTTAGGAAAGTGCACACCTGTAAAACGTGGACTCAATGGAAATATGTTGTAATTTTAACTTTATTATTTAAAAATCAGATTTTAATTATTTTGCTTACTCAAATTAAGACTTTATTTACTTATTCAGTGCATTTGTATAAAACTTCTTTATTTTTTTTATTTCAGAAAAGCTCGCCCACACAACAGCCACTACAGCGCAGTGATGCAGCAGCCTCTCCTGACCAATCAGATGCCATCCCTTTCTGCACATCAGCCAATCAACATCGGCATAGCTCATGTTGTGTGGCCGCAACCAGCCAATAAACGGAACAGACAAGGGCACAACCGGTGAGCTTCTGCCTCCTATATTTAAACTGCTCCAACATCTGGTTTGATCTGACCTTTTGATCGTTTTCCATGAAAGGAACCTGTCCCACCCTAGCAACGTTCAAGTATCAGCATGTCGGTCTCCCAAAATGGCCGACGTCGTCGGGCATGCAGTGGCAGGAAGAGGGCAGCCGCAGAGGGAGGCGCCCCTGGTGGAATCCCGACGACCAGATATCCAAAAAACAAATGTGGAAAAAGATGGCCCAGAGCTGAAAGAAAACTGCTTTAAAGAGACAACGGCAAGTGGAAACAGACAGTTAGACGCGTCCAGGCAGCCGCAACGCGACGTGGCGGTCCTGATGGCCGACACGCCGAGTCCGGCTCCCAGCGTGATCAGTATCCGTAGCGATCTGAGTGAAGAAGAGGACCAGGTGGGAAACGAAGGCGGTCAGGGATGCCATCTGAATCAGTGAGTAAAGATAAAACAGCTGCTGTGACACTGCCGTGGTGACAGTTGATCCTCTGCATTGATGTAAAATAAATCTACTAAATCACCAACAGATGTAAAGGAAAATGTGGATGTGAGGCTTGCAGAAACACCAGTGTGTCGATGGAGAGGGTGTGTTCCCTCAGCAGCCCTGACAGCAGCCTCAGCACCAGTTCCTTCGCCTCCAACTCTCTGCAGTCCAGCCCTTCCGTCTCACCGTGCAAAAGGCCAAACAGGTAGCCCCCTGACGCAAACAAAGAGCTACCCGTCTGTTCCCATCAGCGCAGATGAGGCGCAGAGGGTCACCTTTAGCTTTAGCACCATTTTGTTTGACATTTTCTGTACTGTGCATGAAACAAGCTGCAGGGATTTTAGATGAGCTGTGTGAACTTTGTGGTCTTATCAATATGCTTTTTCATTTTTAAATAAGTAGCAATGTAAATGACATGAATAATCCCAAACTAAGTCCTATCTATTTTTACCTTTAAGAATAAATAGCAGCGCCTTTTAGTGGATAAAGGCAACATTAAAACAATGACAGAAATAACTTTATAGTGAATGTTATCAATTAATTTAATCAAACATATTTTAATCTAATCTAAAAAAATGGACAGTTCGTTTTAAGCAAAATGTTTGTTTACATCCTCACAGATCAGCCCTACCATCAACCTTGCTTTTAGTTTGGCTGTTAGGTTCAGGGCTAAATTCTTTTCTCTGCCTACATCCCCCAGAATGCCATGTGGTTCTGGATGGAGTTCAGTGGAATTATTGAACATTTTATAATGTATTTTCTTCTTCTATTGATCAGTTTTATTCATAGGCTAAAGAATTTAATCTAGTATTGTTCAAATTTTAAGAAAAGACTGATAATATTCTTTCTCAGTCAAAAATTCAACATTTCATATCACTTCCTCGGTTACTTTGATGAAGGTTACAAAGTTTGCTAATCCACCTTATTGTGACTCTAGGAAGAATTAATGTTCACTGTTCTTCAGTAATATGGTTGTCATATTCTAACAGTTTATTTTATTGTTGGGAGGCATCAAAGTGAGCCGTCGATCCACAGCCTGCATTGTCAGTCAGTGTAGTTGCTGTGAAAAGCAGAATTTATTTATTTTAAGACACTTGTAATCCAGTGAATGTTACTAGTTTGAGTTTTGGTAAAATGTTAAAATCAACCTACAACAAATGGATCCGCATGACTAGCTGGATTCGTTGCGCACAAACTCTTGGTGAGATGACATCTAAAAGAAAGAAAGATTAAGCCCTCCTGGGTTCACTTCAGTTCTGGGTCATTGATCATCCCCTCTTCTCTGCTGCTCCTCTTGTTGATCTAATGAGAAAAGGATTTCAGGGCTGCATAACCTTAAAAAAAAAAAGATGACCATGAAATGTAGTTTTATTATTATTCAGAAGAACCCATCTGAGCACCCAGTAGCTGGTTAACTGCATTAATGGCCTCCTCCAACCTTTTTGTTCAGCATGTCTGAGGATGACGGCCATGAAAGCGGCTGTGACACGGTGGAAGGCTCGCCCTCATCGGACACGTCAAAATCCCAGCACAGCAACAGCGCCTACCGTTACCTTGACAACAACCGCTCTCCTTTAGCTGCCGTGTTGGCTCCGCTAACCCCCCCCTGTGAGCAGGACCGGAGCCCCAGAGGCATCAGGACCATGATAGTTCCACCGATGAGGGTGCAGACCAACAGCAGAACCCACAAGCTGCAGGAGCGAGTCCAGAGAACAGGTCAGAGGAAAATAGATCTTCTTTTTTTTTTTTTTTTTATTCGCTACCAGTGAAAAATTGTGCATTAATCCACCAAGAAACATGTTTTCTTTTTAACCACAAACGTTTCTTCATCTACCACCTGCCATGCGGTGTCAACTGTGCTTTGGCTGCATCTGCTTTGTAGGTCAAATGGAAGAAGTAGGGCCTTACAGCCCCCTAGTGGGTCGTAGCGGCCATAACAGGTGATCCAGAGACACCAGCAGAGATTTTATTCAGCTGTAGCCTTTACTCCTCATAGATGCATCTATAATAAGCAAGCTGCTGGCTTTGCTTATCTCTAATAACTTTCCTTTTAGTATATCAAGCTCTGATCAGAAAAAAGACTAAGAGTTTTTGGGAACTTTAAGTCACTATTTCTCCTTTTAAGTATCTCTGTTCTTCTAAGATAAAGAGGAGAAGAGGAAGAGCTTGTTCTGAGATCATGAATCATTTCTCAACATTTATGTTCCTATTGAGGGAATAATGGATGCATTTTATCTGGAGAGAGGCCATGCTGTTTTTAATTTAATTTTCTCTGCTGGTTCTCGCTTTACAACAGCAAAAGTTGCCCAAGGTCACCGATGAGAGATCAGTTTCTAACTTTCTGTCCTCCGTGATTGTTGGTTAAAATCCTGATGGTTTGAAACTGATGCACATCGGCGTCTGTGGGGTCATTTGTTTTTCACTTCATTTTCTGAGTGCCTGGAATTTCTTCTTCCTTCAGGTTCTCTTTTTCTTTTCATTTACTTTTTCGATGCTGTGTTTCTGTTTTAAATCCTTCAGTGATAAAACCATAAAAAGTCAGATATCAGGACTGAATTCACTTTGACAAGTTTTCCCGTCGAGGGCATTTTCATTTAAAGAGCAGCCTTTGCTTTTTTTTTGAATAATTTTTAAAGTCTTTAGTGTTTTTTTTTTTTATTCTTTGAGTTCATTTTTTAAAATAACTAATAATACGAAATGAACTGTAATTTATATCTCTAAACATCCTACAATAACTGCATATAATCCTGTTGTATGATTCTGTCAATACAACATAAAAAAATATTTTTTTTAAGTCATCCATTTTTTTGGAGTTTAAGCATAAAAATTTTAAATGTATAATTTATGAGAGAAATCAATATTCTCAACAACTGAAACTGGTATAATTATGAAGTCTTCCTAAATTATTTATCAAGTGCATCTACCCCATACTGATTTGGTTTATGTAACTTTATTGGTTTATCAAAAAACAAATTCTTGCGTGATTTTTTTTTAAAAGACAACATTGGGAAAATTGATCATGACAGATTTTCAGATTCCGATATCTGGTTGATTGATTGATTGCGTCTTTTTTCCTTACCTTTTTAGCTTGTTTTGTTTTTTTTCCATTTTAGAGTTTACTTGATTAACTTCCTCCTGCTCTTCTTTCTTCAGTCTCAGAATCCTGGTCCCGATCCAAAGGGTGCTGCAGCCTCCTAGGACAGCAGAGTACTGCCTCCTCCGTCCCCCTCCTGCCATCCGCCCCCATCCTGACGCGGCAGCAGAACCACCTGGTCTTTGGTCAGGTTAGTTCAGTGATTACTGACCCTTTCAGAGTTTTAACTGCTGTGGAATAATTGCTGTTTAAAGGTGGGAATGGTAAAATTAGGAAAGGCAGGAGAAAACGTTTTTGCTGAAACCACTGAATGTTGCCTTCGCACATGCACAGTTCAAGTAATTATACCAACAGAGTCCCACCTGTGACACCCTGGATGACCCCTCTGAGGCTATATATGCTGCCGTCATCCAGGGCTCTGTTCCTACAGAATCTTCTTGCGGAAGCAAGTATTCAGACTGACAGAGAATCTCAGGCGGTTATTGGGGATTCATTTGAACTGTAGTTATAGTCAAAGGAACTTTTTATTTTGTTCCTACTGACCGCTAGAGGGCTTGGAGCCTACTTACCACACACCAAAAGCTGGTCTGAGCGTCTACAGGGCACAACCACTAAGGCCCCTTCTCAGTGGAACCAGACTGAAATCGGACCTGAACAGCAGGCTGCAATGCGAATGGGGCAACACATTGGGGACAAATGCAGTGTTTAGCCACAAGCTAACAACAGAACCATTTGGATCCCATCAGAGACATGAGGGATCCATAGAAAGGGCATGCAGCTCACCAACCCTGTTACCTGAAAAAATGGCTAACAAAAAAGCAGCCTTATGAAACCCACTCAGGGGCTCTAAAGGGGAACAGCACAAAGCTTTGACCAAAAGAAGATCCCAATCAGGCACTCGAGGAGCAAGAACCACCACCGGACGGTCAATAATAGAATCCTAATAACTTGAGATTGCTGTTACGTACAATGTGTTAGCGACGATGTATACCGAAAATAGGTACTTAAGTGGATTCCAGAAGAGAAAAAGGAAGGAAGAGCTGTTGGTGGAGGGGGGGTGTATCTTGGCTGATTTATTAAACTGGCGCCGTATCCTGAACCTTTATCAGGTGTTGTACTTCATATGGGACCCACCCAGATAATGTTGCCTATTGGTGTGTCATTACGCCATTGGTCAGTAGGGATCAAATTGAACTAGAAGTTACTAAGAGCTACGTCTCACATTTTGTACAATCTAAAATCCAGGAAACGAATCTAAATTGACTTTTGGTCCTGAAGTTTGGATTGCTACCAAAGTCCAACAACAAGGAAGATAGGAAAATAATGTTTTGAACATTTATTTAGAAGCATACAACACAGGAAAAATTGAAATCTAGATAAGTCATTTTTTTCTTAAAATAAGTGCATTTGTTCTTGAATTGAGGAGATAACAGACATTTTGCCAATGGAACAAGACATTTGCATTTAAAATAAAAAAAACACAATTGCATTGTCTTATTTCAAGTGGATATTATGTAATTGTCTTATTTTAAGAGTAGAAATAGTCATTCCATTGGCATTTAAAATAAAAAAAACACAATTGCATTGTCTTATTTCAAGTGGATATTTTCTAATTGTCTTATTTTAAGAGTAGAAATAGTCATTCCATTGGCCTATTATCTCATTTACCTACTCAAATTAAGGGTCGAGTTAATACACTTAACCTAAGGATTTTTTTTCTCGGTGAACTTTGATCGTTGGGCTACTCTATAATGCTGATGAAGGTTCTCAGTCAGTTTCTATTCAGTTTCTATTGCATGTTTCCAAGCGATACAAGGCGTTGTCTATATAAGACTCAAACTCACTGCGGATCCAGACATTTGAATTGAGAAAGCTTCCTGGAGAGGTGGAGAAACGTCTTCAAATCTTGAAAACCAAGTCCAGTGGATATTTTTTGAATTTTTACGGAGCTACTCTATAATGCTTGGAACTCAGCGCTAATTCAGCCATTTTGAATTGAAAAGGCTTCCTGGAATGGAAGCGAAGCGTCTTCAAACTTGAGAAAATAAAATCCGGTTGTTTGTTTTTTAACTTTTCTGAAACTTTTTTTGATCCTGTCTTGCTTTTCGCCTGAAAGTTTCTCACCTGCTTCGTGTTTCTGTTGCAGCAATTCGCCTCCAACCTCAGCAGCAAAGAGTGGAACGGAAACTACGCGCCGCTGCGGCCGCACGCCTACATCCCCCCCACTGTCCACACACACACCTTCACACACCTGCACCACAGCAGCCCCACGCACACCTCCACCGCCCCCCACACCCTGCTCTCCTACCCCTCCAGCGGGCCCCTCGCCGCCGCCCATCACCCCATCCTGCCCTCTCGCCCTCCCCCTCTCCTCCAGCATGGCTTTGGGCTCTCTCACCCCCAAGGCGGAGCGCTGCTCCACCAGGTCACCCTGGGCATCAGCGCACACCCCCACCACCCCGCCGCCACGCACCGGCTCCTTCCCTCCCCGACTGTAAACCCCCACCATCAACCCAGCTACACCCACCACCCCCACCAGTTCAAGCCGCCCTTTCCTCCCCCGCCCCCACCTCACCCATACTTGGCCTCCCCCGCCGCCTTCACAGGCTTCCACCTGAGCCCCACCAAGCTCAGCCACCACCCCCAGTTCTCCTACATCTGAGGAGCGGCACGGAGGAGCGGCGCCTCCTGCTGACCAGGAGGCTGAAGGAGAAATGGGGCGGGGCTGCAACCTGGGCAGGGAGACCCCCCCTCAGCAGAGCACAACACGAACACTTCTGTTGAGGAAGAGGAGTGTTTTTATTACCTGGATGAATTAAAGAAGTGATTTAAAGAACGTTTTCTGTAATTGACGGGTTTGTCTGTTCAAGCAGAGACTTCCTGTTGGAAGACTTTCCTCTAAACGCGTCTGTTCGTTACCTCCTGTCAACGATCCGATCTTAATAAAGGCTGGAAATGATTTTTTTCCCCTTGTTTGTTGGTTGGGGTCGTTCAGCCTCCGTTCCCTTTATCTGTGTTGCCTTGCAGCTCGGATCTGCTGGTTCGGCAGCGCAAACCCGGATCCAAGTCTCCTGTTAGTGTGACCAGTTCCTTCTAGTGCCTTAACCTTCTTCTCCAGTCTTTGTCACTTCAGGACGGTTTAGATTGTAGGTTTGAATTGAAATGGGCTTGCAGCACTTAACCTCCAGGCTCTGTGAGCGACGGGCTTTGAACAGCGGATGAGGATCAGATGTTGGGCTTGTTTTACTTTCCACTTTTTAACTCGGCGTGGGTTTAATCGGACTAGAGGCTGCACATACAGGGCTCTGACTGAATTAGCTTTTAATGTACATAAAGAGTGATTTGATATTTTGATAATCGATTTCTATTCACTATAGTACTTAATTCATAACAGTATTGTCACTGTTTACTGTAACTGCAATACAATCTAGATCCTCTGGGTTGCTGTGTTTTTATTATCTTGCATTTAGGCTTGATTTGCATCCATGCGTTTTAGTTTTTGGGAGTGGCGTGAACTTTAAATGTTTTTAGCTTCTACCATTCTTCTCAGTGTTGGAAGTAACCTATCGATTTAACAGTATCACTGCTGGGCTTTGGAGTATTAGTCGTATCAGTAATTATTGTCGACGGAGCTTTTATCCCCCTTTTCCCCCCGCGAGTGTCGAAACCCGTCGTCGGTTTTCATACATTCCTTCAGGGTGGAAGCGAAGCCGTGATTATTATTATTTTTGTTTTGTGTGCGTTTTTTTTTTTCCCGGTGTGTCGTTATCTTTAGCCGGCGTTTCACTCCAATCAACACCAAAGACTTTTCTCGTTAATCATTTCGGAAGCACGGTCGATCATATTTCTGTCACCTCCGGTGTATATCGTTGCAGTCGTGGATTTAATATTTTCTGGAATATATTGTAAAATCTCTATTTTAAAGATGATTAGAGGTTGAGGTTTTATTTTTCTGAGCTGTTTGCTAATTGTATTTGGAATGTATAGATAATAAGCTGCTATGTACTGATTATCCGCCACTTGGTAGCTGTGAATTTAGAGGATTAATCTCTTTCTGGCCTGCAGTCTCTGCTTAGTGTTGTAGTTTGGACAGCTAGATGAAGCATCCGTGGATCTTCTTCTGATCATAGAGTGCATTGAATGCTACTCCTTTATGCTAGTGCCTCTGTATATTGACTTTGTTGTTTTTGAAGTGTTTGTAAACTGCTGTATTGGAAGTTCAGTTTTCCTTTTTTTTATTATTCTGTTTCTTTTGGGTGTGTGTGTGTATTTAGCGTCAGTATTTCAAACGTAGGCTGGGTTCGCTCTTCGATTCTGTAACCGTTGTGATGTATTACCGTCTTTCCTTTCCACGCGCGGCTTTTTATTTCCGTTATAGGACTGTATTTTGCAACTCTCCGTACTGTATAACGTAGTGCCTTTTCCTCCGCCGGTGGCCGATGGACGATGTGTGCGATATCAAAGCGGTCGGTCAGATGTAGGCTGAGCTCCTTTCTGGGGTCGGATCCTGTATCCGCGTGATGAAACCCCCCAAAGTTTTGTTCACAAGACGAAGGTGAAAACAATCTTGCGTTCGATTTTATTTAAAATTTTTACAGAATCCTAAGAAAATCCTAAATCAGGGAATGTTTTACTCACCAAGAACACCGTGCAGCACTAAAATCCATGGGGCCTGAGTGACGTTCACAAATGCAAAGCTTTATCTCTCATTGTGAATGTATTTGTGGAAGTCAAGAAATCAATATTTGGTTTGAAAGTAAAGTGTTTTTCACAGTTTTGGGTGTTGATAGTACTTGTATGCAGCTATTACCATTGGTAGACATTGTTTTGTAAGGGGTCTGTTTTTTTTTTTCTTCCTTTTTTTTAATGCTTTATCCATCTGTCATAATCAAGGTTTAGGTCCAAAGGTTTCCCTCCCTGATCTCATTATTACAGAACAGTGGAATGGTTTTATGTTTTTAGGTATTTGGGTGTATTTTTTTGTTTGCTATTCTACTGTTTGCTCATGTTTAAGGTTTAGTGTTTGTGCTCACCCAATGGTTTCTGGTTTATTATTTTGTGGTGTGCATCCCTGCCACCCCCTGGGGACTGGTGGCGCCCCATGCTGTAATCCCAGCCACCACCACTTTGGACTGATTGCTTTGGGCGGGTAAATCCCCAGCACATGGAGCCCTGTAGCCTTTAGCATCACAACAGGCCTAAAAACGTTTAAAACCAAAGTTAATGCTTCTAAAAGCTTGTGGTGAGCTTTTTTTTTTATCAGGTGATGTAATCCACAGCACCCTGATCACTGGGAACCAACATAAAATAAAAAATCTCATATCAATCAACATGTTCATGCTGCAGAATATGTAGATGAACTTCTGCTTAATTTGAATCCATATGAAATTAAACTTGATTGATCATGTTTAGGCACAAACATGTCGACACAATTGCAAAATTGAAGCTGTTACTGTTGGAAATGTGTGTAAAATTTTGTGGCTTTATGATTTTTATTCCTTGATTTTTTGTTTGTTAATCCTAAATGCTACTCTAGTGTGACTTGTAGCCACTGCACTGTGCAATATACAACCATATATGAGGACTGGGAAAATAATTGTTTGGATGTATTGATGTGTGTCTTAACAGTTTGCGGTCACCCCCCCTCCCTCCCTCTCTAGTTCTCAGTGAGTTTCAATGTGACCAAGCCTTATGTACTTTGTCACAAAAAGCGGGTTCCTTCTTGGTGACTCTTATTGGTGAGTGTCAAATTATGAATTTATTGTATAATATGTTGAGATTCACTTTGAATTAAAAAAAAATCTTTTGCTTCAGTGGCTGTTGTTCTTTTTGGGTAATTTCTTCATTGTAAAGCATTGAAAAAGCACAGATTAATGGCATCAATAGCTCAGTTTGAACCAGGAGTACTTTATATTGTAAAGCAACTTTAAAAAGAAGCGGAAAATTCAAAAACAAAAAAACTCCAACAATTTATAAAGGCTGGAGCCCTCAAGCAGGAGCACATCTCTACAGCTTTGTCCCTAATGTTTATTTCTTAACCCTTTATAGGGCAAATTATCGTTTTTGATCACCTGCATACCTCTTACAGGTGGAATCCCACTCCGTCCCTCACTGAGGTCTAGAAGTGAAAGATCTATATCCAGCCATTCAGCAAACATACTGCTACATGGCTGTACGTGTTATTTTTGGCATTTGACCAATTAGATGACACCTTGAATAATATATTACCTAACATACATTACCTTGAGAAAAAGTTTAAGTTGAGCTTAAGTTAAAGTTTTAAAAAACAATGAAAATGTTCAAAAGCCAAGATAAAATGTACGCTCTAAGGTTATGCTGTAAAAAAAAAAAAAGTATTTCGCTCTGTATTTTTCATTGATTTCTTATAGAATAACTTTTATTTTTCTTAATATTTTAGGGTAAGTTGGACTTTCTTATTACATTGACCTTAATGTTTGCCATCAAAATACACACATTTTTTAAATGTTACAATACTAATTGAGGTCCTCCAATAGCCCTATTAGCCTGAAATTTTGATTTCCAAAGTATATTGCCCTATAAACGGTTAAAGGCTGCCAAGTAACTGTTAGATTTCTCCCTGATTTAACTTTCCTGATTTAACTTTCCTGATTTAATTTAATCTCTTCTGAGTTAACTGAGGTCTGCAGGAGAAAGACATCTCTGCAGGTTTCAGGGCATCAGCTGCTGAGGTCTAGAGTTGGAGATGGTGGTTGACCAGGAGGAAAAGACCCAGAGTGTATATTCAATTCAGTTTATTTATATAGTGCCAATTCACAACACATATCATGTCAAGGCACTTTACACTTCACCAGATCATCCAGCTGATTCAAAGCTAGGCTCCTCTACCAGAGGCCTGGGAGCTTAAAGGAAAATTCCGGTTTTTAACACTTTTAGCCCATTTTCTGTAGTGTCCAGGATGAAATCGAATGATCGACACCAACATTTTGACGATTGGTCCTTTCTCGGCTATTTGGCTCATGCAGAATCCCCCCCTGGCTGCTTCAGAATGGCTTGCATAGTGCATGTCCGATAATGTCCTTAAAACAACCTTAAACGCTCTTTTTTTTAAATATGCTACTCACCGGGTCGTCAGCGCTGTTCAATGGCGTTCAAAAACAAGTTTCGTAAAGAAAAAACGTTCCTGTAGTGTTTTATTTAGCATTTTGTAAATCCCATTGAGTTCTGTTGGAATAGTCAATATCCCTCCGCCACCGGAAACGGAAATGGGGCCTGTTTACGCCTAGTTGTAGTTTTTTCGCAAGGCCCAAGTGTTTCTGCTTCACTCTGTGTACTCCGACGTCGAGGTGCTAACGTCTCTGTTAAACACTTAAAAAAACTCTGAAAATGGAATACGAAAGGTGGATTCTTGAGGAGGACATATTGGACTTTGAGTTTGACGGTAGAGGATACCGTCGCCAACTAGTGGTCTGGAGTGTGCAACGCTTCAGATTCGAAGCGGAAGTTTATAAGCGGTTGTGATGTATTGGAAAAAATAGTTCTGGGATTTACAAAATGCTAAATAAAACAAGACAGGAACGTTTTTTCTTCACGAAACTTTTTTGGAACGCCATTGAACAGCGCTGACGACCCGATGAGTAGCATATTAAAAAAAAAGAGCGTTTAAGGTTGTTTTAAGGACATTATCGGACATGCACTATGCAAGCCATTCTGAAGCAGCCAGGGGGGGATTCTGCATGAGCCAAATAGCCGAGACAGGACCAATCGTCAAAATTTTGGTGTCGATCATTCGATTTCATCCTGGACACTACAGAAAAGGGGCTAAAAGTGTTAAAAACCGGAATTTTCCTTTAAGGGTTTTGCGGAGTATCCTTGGGGTTTCCAGCCCATACTCTGCAGCGATGTTCCTGTACACTATTCCAGCCATTGATTATGGCGCTCCATGTAAGCTTTCCCTGCCAGCGTCTTACACCCTGCAGTTATGTGCTGGATTGTCTCAGGGGCCTCTTTGCACAGTCTGCATCTGGGGTCTTGTCTGGTGTGGTAGATCTGGGCCTCCATTTCTATAGTGCTCAGGGTCTGCTCCTGTGCAGCCATGATGAGTGCCTCTGTGCTGTCCTTCAGTCCGGCTCTGTCTAGCCATTGGTAGGATTTCCATATATCTGCCACTTCGGTTATGTTTTGGTGGTACATCCCGTTTGGGGGCTTATCCTCCTATATATATACTACCGTTCAAAAGTTTGGGGTCACATTGAAATGTCCTTATTTTTGAAGGAAAAGCGCTGTACTTTTCAATGAAGATAACTTTCAACTAGTCTTAACTGTAAAGAAATACACTCTATACATTGCTAATGTGGTTAATGACTATTCTAGCTGCAAATGTCTGGTTTTTGGTGCAATATCTACATAGGTGTATAGAGGCCCATTTCCAGCAACTATCACTCCAGTGTTCTAATGGTACAATGTGTTTGCTCATTGGCTCAGAAGGCTAATTGATGATTAGAAAACCCTTGTGCAATCATGTTCACACATCTGAAAACAGTTTAGCTCGTTACAGAAGCTACAAAACTGACCTTCCTTTGAGCAGATTGAGTTTCTGGAGCATCACATTTGTGGGGTCAATTAAACGCTCAAAATGGCCAGAAAAAGAAAACTTTAATCTGAAACTCGACAGTCTATTGTTGTTCTTAGAGATGAAGGCAATTCCATGCGAGAAATTGCTAAGAAATTGAAGATTTCCTACAACGGTGTGTACTACTCCCTTCAGAGGACAGCACAAACAGGCTCTAACCAGAGTAGAAAAAGAAGTGGGAGGCTGCGTTGCACAACTGAGCAAGAAGATAAGTACATTAGAGTCTCTAGTTTAAGAAACAGACGCCTCACAGGTCCCCAACTGGCATCTTCATTAAATAGTACCTGCAAAACACCAGTGTCAACATCTACAGTGAAGAGGCGGCTGCTTCAGGGCAGAGTGGCAAAGAAAAAGCCATATCTGAGACTGGCCAATAAAAGAAAAAGATTAACATGGGCAAAAGAACACAGAAATTGCACAGAGGAAGACTGGAAAAAAGTGTTGTGGACGGATGAATCCAAGTTTGAGGTGTTTGGATCACAAAGAAGAACGTTTGTGAGACGCAGAGCGAATGAAAAGATGCTGGAAGAATGCCTGACACCATCTGTTAAGCATGGTGGAGGTAATGTGATGGTCTGGGGTTGCTTTGGTGCTGGTAAGGTTGGAGATTTGTACAGGGTAAAAGGGATTCTGAATAAGGAAGGCTATCACTCCATTTTGCAACGCCATGCCATACCCAGTGGACAGCGCTTGATTGGAGCCAATTTCATCCTACAACAGGACAATGACCCTACACCAACCAATCCAACTAGTGGGAGCTGCTTCTGGAAGCGTGGGGTGCAATTTCTCCAGATTACCTCAACAAATGAACAGCTAGAATGCCAAAGGTCTGCAATGCTGTAATTGCTGAAAATGGAAGATTCTTTGACGAAAGCAAAGTTTCATGTAAAAAAAAAAAAATCCCCTTTTCAAATACAAATCATTATTTCTAACTTTGTCAATGTCTTGACTCTATTTTCTATTCATTTCACATCGTATGGTGGTGAATAAGTGTGACTTTTCAGGAAAACACGAAATTGTTTGGGTGACCCCAAACTTTTAAACGGTAATGTGTTATATATATATATATATATATATATATATATATATATATATATATATATATATATATATATATCCCTGGATGGATTACGGCAGGGATTGACTCTAAAGATTGGGCAACAAAATATTTAATGGTCCTATCATTTTTGTCCAGACCTCTTTCATACTTTTTTTTTAATGGTTCCTTTGAAGCATGGTTAAAAAAAAAAGCAATTTCCACTTTTTGGTTTCCAATGAATTATTTATTATAGAATTCGATAGGTAAAAGTGGAATAACGTTTTTTGACCACTTTAGAAACAGTGATGAGAGAGTGCATCCATTTGCTCCAGTGTTCATTCACAGGGAGTCTTACAGCTGCTTGGCACCAGGGGGCGCCAAATTCACCTGAAATGACCAGTGCGTCTGTCTGTCGCCTGATTCCAGATGTTGCTGCAGCTTCAAGCTCCAAAAGCAATGCAAACTCCACAAATGGGTTGATTCATATCATTTTAAGAACTGGAGATAATTCATCTTCTGCTGTTAATTTTACCAAACAGGCAGACTAAAGGCTCCCTGAAGCTGCATCAAGCTGCTGATAAGTTACCTTGTCACAGGAAATGACCTTTAAAAATAAATCAGAACTTTTTCTCTCAAAAAAGAAAACAAACAAAAAACAAAACTATCATGATACATCATTAAAAACCAGATTTAGACATATTCTGATGTTAGAGAAAATGAAATGCAGACAAATAGAAATGAACTGGCTTGCTTTATTCTAATAGCTGCTATAAAAATGTCACTTTGATTCCACTTAAGGTCAGTGGAGATCGTCTATGCGTGTTTTTGTGATTAAGTTGTGTTTTTCATCTTTTCATTGAGGTCACTCTCTGGAAAAGTGGGACTTTGTTTGAGATGCTTGACAATAATTTATTGAAATCCGGATAAAATTAGTTTCTTTATAATTAATCAGTTGGACATGTTTAGAATAGAATAGAAAATCCCTTTGTTGTCCCACAATGGGAACATTTCGGTGATTGTCAACTGTAAACTGGTACTATGCCTAAAAAGAAATTAATACATTTGTATTGATATAAGTTGAGCTGAGTACTATTTGTCGTTTGAAAATGTGTTTCTTTTTGCTTGATGATTGTTTCTTTATGCAGATCAATTAAAATCTTTTATTATTTTGCACCTTAATCATGTCTCAGTTCATTTTTGTGGTGGCTTCATGGCTCATCTTCCCACTACATTTCTTCTTCTTACATCAGTCTGTCTTATTTGACATTTCTCATTCATTGTGGCTCATAGAGTTAACCCTTTGATGCCTGTTGTTGCTAATAAGCAACAAACCGCTTGTATTACACTGTTTTTCTTAAAATAAGAGCATTTTTTCTTGAATTGAGCAGGTAAGTGAGACACTTTGTCATTGGAACAAGACAATGTACTTTTAAAATAAGAAAACAAACAACTGCAGTCTCTTATTTCAAGTGCATAATATCTTATCTTATTTTAAGGGTAAAAATGCTCATTCCTTTGGCAGATCATCTTATTTTTCTGCTCATATTAAGGATAAATGCATTTATTTTAGGACATTTTAATCATATTAGAACATTTTTGCAGTGTAGGCAAACAGCAGCTATAGTGTTTTTGCATCAACCCATTGCTAGTCTCAGTGTTTGTTATGCACTGTTATAAATGCTGTTACAAAATATACTTTACCTTCATTTCTATTTATTTAGTATCATTAACCATTTTAATATGGCATCTAATTGAATGGAAAAACACACACAAAACATATCAAGTCAGGCTTCAAGGGGTTAATTCATTATATGTCTCCTGTCTGACGTAAAACATGACATGTTTTTCTGCATCTAATCTGTATCCTGTTTTGTGTTGGATGGTTAATTTCTTTATGTAAACGCTTTATGATGTTATTTGTCATTTTCCAAAATGAGTCATTTTTATGGATCACCCAGCAGATCACATGTTTTCCCACCCATCCTTCTCAGTCACGCCAACCCCATGCATATCCCAATAAAATTTGTTTGTAAGCAGTCTGGGTAGATTTCAGATCAAATGATGTTTTGGAAAAAGGGAAAACCCAAGCTGAACACTCCTACCAAAGAACGATGGAACTAACGAATTAAAAGGATTATTAAAATAGAGTAAAATGTCCATCTGTTAAAATTCTATTTCAAATAAAGAAAACTTAAAAATTCGAAAACTTGAAATCACAAAAGCTACATTAACCTTGTGACAATGACAATAAAGGATTTACTCACATTGTGTTTTTGTATTTTAGATTTCATGATTTGTAAAATCATGAGATCTAAAATGGTAGTTAGAAGATCAGAAAGATCATATCAAAAGTTTAAAGGTTGAAATAAAACTGCGATAAAACAGAACAAGGGATGATCGATACAAATTCATGGACAATCTATGGTGTGTTAACCCCGTTAATGGCACATTGTAGCCTTAAACAGTCTTAGTTGTTAAAGGACTAAACAGCTACAAGTCATCATCCATCTCTTTACGCAAAATATTCAAAATATAAATATAAAAATTTTATAAAATAACTGGTGCAGAGCATTTGCTTCTAGCAGCACAAACGTACAGCCAGAGCTCCACTGTCACAGTCTTGGTTTTTTTATGTTTATTTAGAGTATTCAGTCTTACTTTGCTCCTTGTTTTAGTGTCTAATTATTATTTTGTTGTTTTCTTGTTAGTTCCTGTCCTCCTGGTTTTCCATTTGTTGTCCTCTGCTGCCCTCTTGTGTCCTCTATCCCTAGCTCTGTTTTCTGCTCTGTCCTCCCTTGCTGTTTTCTCTTTCCTGCCAGCACCTGTTACCAATTTCCTCGTCAGCTCTCTCTTTGTCTCTGTCCCCTTTAAAAGCCCTCCCTCTTCAGTTCTTGTTTGCTGGATCCTCGTCTTACTTCTCTTCAACCTCTGAACAATCGTCTGTCTGTCTGCCTCGTCTCTTCCAGGTTCTTAGTTTTTGGTTTTTCCCTGATGTCTTCTAGATTCTAGTTCTTGAGATATTTTTGTTGGATTTTTGACTCCTGCCTCACTACCTGTGAACCTAATTAAACCACTTAAATTTATCTCAACCTACTCTTCTCTGCATTCGGGTCCTCCATACCAACACCGTTTTGTGACATCCACGGCACGGTTAGATAAACCCTGTGTGACAAACACCATGTCACATCCAGCAGAGAATCTAAAACAGCACATGAAACCAGGGGTACGTTTCAAAAAACGTAAAATCAGGAGTTATAACTTTCACAAAGAGAGTTTCCTCAACCTGTTTCTGTTGCCATAGTAACATTCTCCCACTGCTAAGCTGGTCGTGAGCACGTTTTTTTCAGTAAACTCAGAGTGTCCTCCGTCTCCGCTCTCCTTAGAGCCAATCACGTTGTTTTATTTCCTGATTTATTCAGGAGATTTGTGGTAATTTTTTGCAAACATTGTGGCATATCATCATTAGAATTTCTTTTAGTATTTTGTCTTCGGTACAGGGGTCATAACAGGGGGCTAGCGCATGATCTACAGGGGCCCCCGTTGGCCCCTGTCTAGAACCGTCCATGCATAGAACAACTTTGGGAGGACTGCACAACTCCACTACTATTTGAACTTTAGGCAGCTCTTTTGTTTCCTGTCTTCCATTACTGGATGAACTGATTAATCCAGGTGTGTCTGGTCATGGTTACTGAGGTTATGCACACCTGGATTAACTAAAGAGCTTCCTTAACTTCAGGAAGTAGTGGACTTGTGCATGGAGCCCGTTAGAGTGAATCCTCCGGCTCTGATTTAACCCTGAACACCTCGTCTAAACCTTCTGGAAGATGTTTAATATTTGCCTTTGTTGGAAACGGGCTCCATAAACCAGTTGTCAATACAGTGAATGTTTTTATAAAAGGAAAAAGAAAGAAAAGTCCAGGCTTCATACTAGCCTTCAAACAGATGTGCCTCTGTTTTAGATAAATCTATATTGGTCACCAGGGCCGGTACAAATGTCCATGGGGCTCTAAGCAAAATGTGATTTTGCCCCCCCCCCCTTATCATCAACAGTCTGATGATCAGAACATTACACTGCTATTTTTACATCTTCCTATTTGTGTCCATTTTCAGTATTGCTGAAAATAATAAAACAAACTAGTATACATTTTTTTTACTGTTAAACTGTTTGTGGTTTTTAAGTTTTGGTTACAACATCAACAGAAAAGTGTACAAATAACCTGTTGTTCAAAAACAAGAAACAAGTTTCTCTAAGTTTACATTGGACCTTATCTGATTCTGACCAAAAATTAAAAAAATTTTTCTTCATGTATAAAATGTACATGTGTCTGGTTACAATATTTATATAGAAATCCAATTCGATTATTTGTATAGAAATCCAATTCCATTAGTTTTCACTAGATGTGGATTGCGCCAATGATCTACATTGGATGGAGCACATGATGGGAAATAAATATTTATAAACATTAAACCAAAGCCAAGAGTAACGAGAAACGTTTGTTTTAAAAATGTAAGGAATAGAAAATACAGATACTTGTGTGAAAATGTAATGAGTAGAAGTCAGAAGTAGGAAGAAAAATAAGTAATGGAGTAAAGTATAGATACCTAAAAAGTATTTGTACAGTAGTTTGTGTGTGACTTGGGCCGGCCCTGTCTGTCACTGTTGTATTTTAACCCCCCGCCTCAAATGTCCAAGCTGACATTTAGAAACAGTTTGGATCAAGCTTCTGGGACTTGTTTTGTTCTGCTGCCAGTGGCGGTTCTAGACCAAATGTACCAGGGGGCCAGGAGGGGGCCAGCATGTTTACATGGGGGCACAGAAAAGCATGAAATAAAAAACATGGCAAGGGATTCAAATGTATTAAGAGAGCTGCATGAAGTGAAATTTCATTCAATTAGGTTTAATAAAAATTCAACTTCTTATGAGGTCAATACATTCATAATTTAGGAATTTTACATATTTTTCACTTAATATAAGTTAAAACTACTGTTTTCTGTAAAATCTGAATTAGAACTCAATAAAAACTGATAAATTCAGCTGTAAAAATTGGATTATATTTTTAAATTTGTTTTGAAAAAAACATTTGGAAGATGAAAACTGGGATCCTATCTCCATACCATTGAATATATCACCTTTTTTTTTTTAATAAATAATAAAACATAATTTATAAAGGAAAAAAAAGGAAACAGATAAAAAGGACCTATCAGTAACCATGTCTGTTCAAGCGCATATCATCATTAGAATTTCTATTATGTCTTCAGTATCGGGGCCATAACAGGGGCCAGGACATGATTTACAGGGGCACTGGCCCCTGTTTGCCCCTCTCTAGAACCGCCCATGTCTGCTGCCCTTTGTTAGTCATACCACTTTTATGTAAAAGTCAATCCACCTGTATATAAGCCATCCTGATTGTACATATGTCACCTCAATCTCTGTGTTTCTCCCTTTTATTTATTTTTTATTTATTATTTTTTTTCATTGTGTGTGATACATATACACTTGCACCTTAATTCTTATTCTTATCTTGATATACTGTATATACAGTGCTTGCTTGTTTATTCTTATTCTTAATGCACCTTTTCCTCCCTGTTTGCACCTTATTTAATTACTATGCCAATATGTGACCAGTGAATTTCTCTGCTGTGAGATCAATAAAGCTCATCTAATCTAATCTAATCTAATCTTAAAACACCCCATGAATGCCAACCTCTCTAAATGCAGCCAGGCTTTTATTTTGAAACCATCCACAGTGGTCTTCCGGCCTTGCGGCTGCGCTTTGACGCATCCGCGCGCCTTGCGGACGCAGCAGGAACTTCGGAGCTCAGCTGCGCTTCACGCACAGACCGCCGCGGTCTGAGAGGCGAGCAGGGAGAGAGAAGCGGAGCCAGTGGGAGCATCCAGCGGCTCATGGAGAGCAGAGCCCTGCTTGTCCGAACAAAGGGCAGCTTGATCGGATGCCTTTTACCACATCTGCGCCGTTAGATGCTTTTCATCCGGGAATAATTGGTTAATCAATGGCTCCCAAACATGCGCTCCTTCGCAGAGGAGGTGATAAAACGGCAGTGAGGCAGACGCTATGGGAAGCGGGGATGGTGGCCCGGTGTCCGCAGAGGAGAACCCCGGCTGGGATGCTGATCGGAGCGCTCCTGGTCCTGATGATGCAGAGCGCTTCAGCCGCTGAAGGTAAGAGCGCGATGCTGCTTTCACCAGATCAGAGACTGATCCTTCCTTCCATCAAAGAAACAACCTTCATCCAATCAGCTGACTGAGCTGCTGCCAACTGTTTGTTTCTAGGATGGAGCGGAACATTTATTCTGTTCTGGGAGCGCCTTGTTCACCATGGGGTCACTTTGCTGGGGTTTAAATGATCCGCAGAATCAATGTTGTGGTATTTAACCTGTGGGAATGTGATCCATGTGATTTAAAGGCCTTCAGTGAGGCAGCCAGATGGAGCGCAGCGCGCTGGGAACCCACAGCTCCTTCATCTCAGGGGTCCAAAGCTTTGGATCTAGAGCCAAACTTTTAAACATTTCTGACACTGAAACATCTTTGGGTAGATGCATCTGATAAAAGATGGCAGGTGTTTTGAAATGCACAGGAATGTCATGTTTAGTCATAGGTTGTGCTTTGCCCAACAGCTGCAGACTGCCTGAGAAAATCAGGACGCTGGTTTGGTTTTTCTTAAAATAAGTTCCTTTTTGTCTTGAATTGAAGAGGAAAGTGAGACAATTTACATCTAAAATAAGAAAAAGCAACTGCATTGTCTTATCAAAGTACATATTATCTAATTATCTTATTTTAAGAGTAAAAACACTGATTCCATTGGCAAATCTTCCCATTTACCTACTAAAATTAAGGGTAAATACACTTGATTTAAGAAATGTTTACTTATTTCTAGATCATTTTAGCAGGGAATTCTAACATCTTACATAGGAACAAGTGGAGGAAAACATTGAGAGCACATCAATGTCTCTGATAGAGCTTTTCCTAATGCTTCTAATGCATTTTACTGGTTAACATACAAGACATACCATTTTTCACATCCATGAATTCTCCAAACACTGAAAAGGTAATAAGATCTCACAAGATCAGAAACAACAATAGGCTAAAGAGAAATACGCGTTTTAATAGAAATCTAAACCACTTTTTAATGACAGTTACTCTAATTTTAGGTTTATATAGCTACATGTTTGGATCTTTAACTTTTCTCCATGTGTCCATGTTGCAGAAAAATAAACTATAATGCCCTTTAAAGCACAAAACTACCTATTAGAAGTTAGTGTTTATTTTACTGTCTAACAGAATTAAGATTAGGGCTGAAACAATTAATCAGATTAATCATGATTAATCGATTATTGAAATAATCACCAACTAAGTTAGTAATCGATTAACTGGTTAAATGGAGTATACAGACTGTAAGCATGCCTTTAGCTGAAAAAGCAACATATTTAGAACCAGTGGCGGTTCTAGACCAAATGTACCAGGGGGTAAGGAGGGGGCCAGCATGTTTACATGGGGGCACAGAAAAGCATGAAATAAAAAACAGGGCAAGGGATTCAAATGTATTAAGAGAGCTGCATGAAGTGAAATTTCTATTCAATTAGGTTTAATAAAAATAATATTTCTTATGAGGTCAATATACATTCATAATTGAGAAATTTTTACATATTTTTTAATTAATTTAAGTTAAAATTACAATTTTCTATAAAATCTGAATAAGAACTCAAGAAAAGCTGATAAATTCAGCTGTAAAAATTAGCAGATGAAAACTGGGATCCTATTTCAATACCACTGAAGCTATCACCACATTGTTTTTAAATAATTAGTAAAACATCATCAATAGAATTTCTTTTAAGCATTGTTTCTTCAGAGCAGGGGCCATAACAGTGGCCAGGACATGATTTACAGGGGCACTGGCCCCCGTTGACCCCTGTCTAGAACCGCCCTTGCTTAGAACAGTAATTATACTGAAAAAAAAAAAAAAATAGAAACATTTTGCATTTAAGGCCCCGTCCACACGAAGCCGAACCCTGGCCTAAACGCACAAATTTTTCACCAAACCAGCCTCTCATCCATACGAAGCCGGCGTTTCGGGGGTCTGTAAACGATCTTTTTTTCATTAAGCCTTCAGAGTGGGAAGATTTTGAAACGCTGTTTTCGCGTTTCCATCTTTAAGCTCTAACCGCATTTTTTTTTTTTACACGCATGCGTCATAGCGTCGCCTCTAAACACGCATGTGCGACACAGTATCACAGCAACAATGGCGCCGTACTGTGTTGAATGGTTGCTGCTCATGCTACTCACCCTGCTGTCGGGCTTACAACAGAATCTTCTTCTTCTGGAATATCTCCAGGAAGAACAGAGCAATATCGACCACATAGTTCAGCACCTGAATTTGACTGAACCACGAAAATGGACCCGCAGGGCAACCATGTATAAATATTAGTGCGCATGCCCAACATTTCGTCGCCTATTTTTGCTTTGGCACCACAGCGCCACTTACAGGCCTGGCCTACATTTTGCAGCGTTTTCATGCATTCGTGTGGACGATCACATTTATTTTACGTCTCCGTCTTTACGACAAACGTTCTGGAAAATATCAGCGTTTCGTTTTCGTTTTGACTTCGTGTGGACGGGGCCTAAGATTAAAACAACATTTTTGTCTGTCTTTAGGATCTATCCAGAACTCCTCAAGTGGGAAATTTTTACTTAAATCTGGTTTAATTTAATAAAAGATCTTCTTTAAGAAACCTTTCAATATCCGATTATTAATCGAATATTTGAAGAAAAAAAAAATCAACAGCAAAATAATCATTGGTTGCAGGCTGCCCTAATTCAGATTAGACATTATTACTTATTATTTTTAATTACTCATCCAGATTAGTCATTTATTCCCTTTACTTCTACCATGCCCCCCTATAATTACACCTATCCCTCCCTCCCACTTTGGGAACGACTGCATAACCAGCCAGACATTTACCTCATTCAGGCTATTAATGCTCAATACTTCCTGGTGTAAAACAGACCAATCACAGCGCAGGAGGCAGGCCCATACTGCAACAATGCTTTTTTGTAACCATGACAGTCAATTGCAGCTGCAATGGACCAAAAAATGTTAACGATGCCCTTTGATATGTCAATAAAGTGCTGCTTGTATAATTAAATACCAACAACTGTTACTTTTTTAAGATATTTTTTTTGGATCACATCCATAGTTTTCTGATAGATTCTAAACCATTTTTAACTGCTGACTCTGTGTTAGTCCCACCTTTGAAATTGGGTTCTATCTTCTCCTTTCTGGACTAATATGCTGTGTAAATGATGTAAGCAAGTCTGCTTAGCTTTAGGAAACGAGTCATGGTTCTCACAGCTGACTCTAAAATACTTTGGTAAAGACAGAAGTTCACTTTTTAGTCAAACAATCTGCACGGCGCCATGGTCTATCTGCAAAAGAAGCCCAGATCACCACCCTTCCTTTATCGTGCTCGACAGCCTCTATGCTTTGTTTGATTGGTTTCTTCTAAAGTCGTATTTGGCGGGCAAGTATCTCTGCTTTGATTTAATGTGGCTAAAGGACATTTTCTCATTTAAAACTCTTCACAAACCCAAGATGCTGCGCTGGATGCAGCTTTGGGCTAAGAACTGTTCAGGGTGAGGCCTTTAGAAGCCTTTACAGTCGGACTTGGATCTAGCTTTTCCTTTCTCTTAGGATTGTGTGCTCTGACCTTTACTGGGATTTCAGCAGGGATGCTCAACACAGATTGTTTGGAAATGGTACTACGATAGCTAAATGAGTTGCAAATGTTTTTGTTTTATTTTATATATCGCAGACGTAGAAACAATACATACATAAACTACGATATCTTTAAGATTAACGCAATATGATAACAAATTTTACACATCAAAAGATGCCAAAACAGTTACAGATAGTTTAAAGACATAAACAGAGGTTATAGATAAGAGACATGTAGTTAAAATGTGCTTTATATTTTTATAATGTTTATGACCATTTTACAGTTACTATACTGATTCTTGGGATAAGCAATAACTATTCAAAAAGTGCACATCCATAATAAATATTCATACAAGCAGATTTATGCACCTAAACTACTCTCTATGCACATTTTTCTATGTTTTTATGCAACTAAATCCTTCTTTGCACTCATGGCTTGATTTTAATGCTCCTGTATTGTTTTTTTTTTAAATAATAATTGAACTTTATTGATCTCACAATGAAGAAATTTACCTCTGCATTTGAGCGCTGCCATTGTGCAGCATCCAGGGAGCAGTATGGAGTTAAGACTCTTTGCTCAGGAACCCAGAGTGCAGGCTGTGGGGATCAAACCAGGTGCTTGCCACCTTCTCAGAGCACAAGCGCGCTACTATAACCCACTGGGCCATCGCTCCCCAGATAAAATGACTTGAATTCCAACAAAAATATGCCTTTAAAAATGTAAAGATTGAAACCAATATCTGTCAGGTTAGCAGCCATGTTTAGACTTGCTAGATTTCTTTCTTACTCTTCACCTCTCTTTTTCTTTTCTTTGGTTCCATTTATAGTCAGGCTGTTTTGGAGGCTTTCAGCTTGTGTCTGTCGTTTGTAGGCATCGTTGCCATTTTCAGTATGTGTAGGTGTTTCCGTTGTTGGTTCTACATCCTCAGTCCGTAGCTGTAACTGAAATAAAAGCAGTGCATCTTCTAGCATCTAACAGGCAGGAAGGAGCGGGACTAAATGGTTATTGGTTTTCTTTTTAAAGGATAAGGCCTGACTGATACTTTGACATTCTTGTGCGTTCATGAAATTCCGTGTAACGCCATTATATCCATATTAAGAATGTAATTACATGGGTCTTACACTTTTTCTGTTCCTTATTTGGGTAGATGTATTGTCACCATGGGAACAGATCTGCAGCTTATACTTTTCCCACCTCGTTTGTCGCTAAAAAAAAACAAAAACCCATCTGACTGCCAGGTTGAGGAGCGGTGCACAACGACCAGCGATGCATGATGAACCAGAGTGTGTGCTGAACCCTTGTCTATTTATCAGTTCAACCTACTTCGTGCTGCATGTAATCTGCTGCCCCTGTTGTGTCTCTGGTGTGTGTGGATGTAGCTAAAAGGATGCTTTTAATTACAAGATTTTTTAAATTTTTTATTTAAAGCTATATAATCGCCCCAATCTT